TTACAAAGTATAAGAGATCGGTGTATTGGCATTAACATTTTCGTCGTACAGGAAGTTAATTTCAAGTACGAAAAAGCATTATATCATTGTATGTCCAGCTCTACAATAAATACTCGGTTTTTTGTGGTCAACGTGGAAAATATTGGCTTAATTCCAACGTTACTATGAACGATACATAAATTGCGTTTGAGTGGTCACTACTCAACTGCGTTTTGAGATTTTGTAAATATTTATTTATTCATTGGGCTTCTGTTTTACGTATTTTGTCATTTATTGAGTTTTGTTAATGAGCTTATTGAATGCTTTTCTTTGTTTTGAAATATAACATATGAATGCATTGATATTCCCGTTTCAAATGTTTCTGTGTTAGTACTTCATAGATTTTTCACAGGTAATAAAGTAGAACCGATGTTTCTCTAACGATCGGCACAAATTAGGACATTGTTTACTGCTCCATAGTAAAATATTTTCATAGCAGATTCCTAATGAGTCAAGGAATTCCGCCCATTATCCCAGTTTTGATTAAAATGTTTATGTAACGCATGCCAATTTCGTAATCAAATATTTTCATAGTAAAATGTGACCAATGAAAAGATCAGTAGGTTGTGAAAAGCTAGGTTTATATGAGATGTTGAACTGTGGGAAAAATGTGGATGTTTACTGATTTCCTATTTAAAGAAATGCAACAGATCGTACAAACATTCAGAGGTAATGAATTTCCACGTTAGTATTTGATAAAGTGAGTAGTCTGTCCCCAACAAATTACGTGCTCAACTGTTCATTAATCAGAAATTCAGTTGCCAGAGCTCGTAGGTAATATGTAATCAATATTTTGTAGTCATAAATTCGGTATTTATCACCGTGGTTACTACTGAACGGTGAACTGGAGCCTTATTATTTTTAGCGTATCCGTCCGTGACGCCAGCTCCACAACACACATGGCCGGTGACGTCGCTAACCCGTCCACAATGTAACCGCCTCTAACATTATTAAGATATGTAATATCAACTGCTCTTCGTGGGCGGTTTAAACTATCACATCACAGTGATACGACGCAATACATTATAAATGTTAATTCCACGGGATATATTAATCATTTTATTTCGTCTCAAAAGAACTGTTCCTGATTTTTTAGATTAAAATATATTTTATTTTTGACGCGACGCCACAGGAAGCGGGACAGATCTAGACGCTCGTAAATACGAAAATAAAAGCTAGATTACATGTAAAACATACCCTTGACCCGTTAATTTTCTTAGTTTAGGTACTCCGAGAAATATGTACAGTGCCATTCCTATAACGTTTTCATTAGCCAAGTGCTAAAACGCTAATTTTATGGTTCACGAACAATTTATAACTACTTTATCAATGTCCATAATGTAGGACAGACATCGTGTCGTACGCGTAGCGTCTATCGCCCACGTGGGAAGCAAAGTTAGCGGCCGAGTTTCCCAAGACAATTTCGAAATATATTTTGGTGTATATTATGAAATTTTGAAAAACGATTTAGGCACGTCGTCTGGAGAAATAGAATCAGGCCACTAACTCAATGAATTAACCACATAATTGGGAGATTTCTAAGAATAATTCATTTTTCTAATCTTGCTCACAACAGCCGCAGGTAATAAAAACTAAGTAAACGTGCTGTGGTTTCGAGAGATATGGGAGTCAAGATTTCAGTCAGATGTTTTGATAGTTCCCAACAAGATAGTATTTGGGTCATCGCTTTCGGAATCCGAGACGCGTAAACTTGAAAATAGATTTTATATATAGTTAGTATAATACGAAGAAACTAATGCGAGTTTCATATATTAGCGATTCGATGGTGTAGTATTTATACAGTTAGAAACAGCCGTGTATGTATACAGTTTACGATGCACTCACTTCTCTACATCTGCAGGGCTTATTTGTGGTTGCCGTAACATACAATGTTTATAGGAGGTGCGGGCTTATTTTTAGCATGCGCGTTGTGTACCTGTGCCGATACCGATCAGGGCGGAGGCACGGGTTGGCCGCGGCTGGCCTTCGATCAGCGCACTAATTATGAAGTAAACTGTCGACTGATTGATGAGGCGTCTCCGATAATAATAGAGGGCTGTAATCTCTATTTGCGTTGCGACGTCCTTGCGGTGCGGCGGGTTTGGGGCACGCGCCACTGGCCGGCGATCCCTACACTACGGTGATGCGTCGCGCCGTTATATTTACAGGTGATGGTCTGTCTCACGTGTCCGGTGGATATCGCCCTCTCGTCTGAACATGTCAGTGCGTCACCAGCGTCACACACGCGCGATCCTGCCGCCCGCGACGCGAGAGCACAATATTTTCACATCGCGTAGAATAAAACTCGGGAAACGGTCAGTGTGTTTACGTAGCGCGCGGCGTTCGCCCGCCAACTGTTTTACTATACGGCTCCGGTGAAATGTGTACAAAATGAGTCGTAAACAAGATAGATACACTTCCAGGCCTCGAAGCCTTTCTTCACATTACAGCTCGTCTCCAAGCATGCTGGGGACGATGCTCGGTAGTCAGTACAGTCCTTATTCAAACAACTATTCCAATTACAGTTCTAGCGCGTACAGGAACTATAACCCTTACAGTGCGGGATTAGGGCGGCCGTCGTCGAATCTTGGTATATACGGTGGTACTAGTTCCGGGTATGGGGGCGTGTACTTAAGTGGTGCTACTTTGGGGTCGTTGAATTTAATGACGCCTGTTTTAAAAAAGTTGGACAAAAGGTTGCTGGCGAGTAAAAAAGACTTTAAGCCCAAACCTGTGCCATTGGCGAAGGTTCAGGAGCCTACGGAAGTGCCAGTGGATGTGCCTGCTGAGTTGCCGGTGCCAGACGTAGATGATGTACCACCAGTACGACCGCAACGCAAGAACCGTGCGAATAAAGCCGGTAACTTGGACAAAGAACGATCTCGCTCGCTCAGCTCCCTGGAGACCTCAGGGGCGCTTGGTTCTCGATCTCTCAGCTTAAACTCTCTTGCTTCAGATGGATACTGTGTACGTAATACCTATATTATTTATAAAGATATAGTACTCTTCCTTCACTTTTACTAACGACCAAAATTAATTACCGATCTTATTCGAAACATTTTTGATCAAAGACATGAGTTCTATTAAAATTCTTCTAAAACATGATAGATCGACTCAGAGATTTTTGATTAGGTTGGTTATTTATTTCGGCCGTTATTTTATTTACAAATTCATGAAGAAACATTTACTGACTTCAAAAAAAGGAGGAGATTCTTTTAGTGTATAAAATATGTTTTGTATATACTGAACTTATTCGGAACAGTTTCGTTTCAGTACTTATATATTTAGGATTCTATCTAAGGTATTTTCTGGATAAAATCATTTAGTGATGTTACGATATCATTTATCGTAGCAATTGGCGTTCCATGGTCTCTCTCTGCCTACGCAGAGACTATGGTAATCGTAGCAATTGTGCTACGATGGATGGGGATAGCACCATGGGAATATGAATGTATGATTTTACATACTTCGAAATGACTTTGATCTTATCTGAAAAGGAATAACTGATTTATAAATTTGTTTTCCATTTTCATTGTAGAGCAAAAATATCGGAAGGGTATTTTTACGGAATACGCGTGTTTATTGTGTAGTTGTGTTTATCGCTACTTCTTTGAATGATTATTGACCAAAGAACGTAGTTTCGAAGATTCTATTGCACTATATACATACTTGTACTTGATGTATGTAGTATGAAAGTACCTTTGAACGTTAATACATTCTTCGTGCGAACTGGCAAACAAAGTAACCATTCCATAGAGAAAACACACCTTAGTTGACTTTCTTATCTTTTTTGGGAAGTTATGCATAAATGTTCTCATTGTTCTGTCTCAAGTAGAAAGTATCTGGATTCCCGTGAATAAACACATAGTCTTTATAGCTTCTGTCTCAGTTCATCGCACCTATTTATAGAAGTTTCGTTTTTCTAACTATTTGTTACCAATGAAACGGCGTCTGTGGTCTTTCTATTTCATGTTTACGAATTAAACAATGGTTTACAACTGTAGTTTCGTTGCCATAATAGATACATGTCTGAGTTATTGGTATATGTTATTAATGGTCAAAATTACTGTGTATGTGAGATTTACATTTTGGTAAATTTATTTTTGGGAAAACCTTTTTCTATCCTTTTGAGGAATAAAAAAGGTGATGTTGCGATTATGTCATAATAAATTGGTATCTCATGATGCCATTATTAATGTTTCAATAATGTTGTTTACTTTCATTGTAAATCATGTTTTTTTAATTACACTCTTTCACTATTGTGATCGGTTTTAATGATAATAATACTTTATACATTCGTAACAATAGAAAATAGAAAAGAATAGTAATAAATAATAATAAACATGGACATAGTCAGCTCTAATATATTTCTAAGTTATGATGATTGCATGATTTATTTTATGAATGAAATGTGTGATCTTTATTGTCGCCATGAAAGTTGTTTGTGATCGTTATGTGTCATAAAGCTACTACAAAGCAAGCGGTGTATCTTTGACCAAACAGTGTTGAGTTTATAAAGAAACTTGGAAGCTGCAACAGGATCCTGAACGTGTTTTTGAATTTTGTACTCAGAGATGCGTACACTCGCTTTACATTACTTATTGTAATCCAGAACTACGAGGTCGTAGAAGAGATTGCTTTGGTTGAATGATACAAATGAAGTATGTTAGGGTGTTATTTACTTGTGTCCTATGTTATAGCTAAAAATCTCTTAAACACACTATAATTACATCTCCTTCGAGGGTAAAAGAAGGCCGGGCTTAATAAAAATAAACTACCTACTAGTAGTTTCAACACCATTAGCCTGAAAACTTTACTAAATAAACTGGGGATTGCCGTATTTCTTAGGCAGAAGGTTCTTTGTTGTCTGATCGCAGTTGTAGGTTATACCCATTTTAATGGCAGTTGACAATGTAGGTAACAAATACCCAATGTACTGATAATGTTCTATATCATTCCAGTCTGGCAGCGAACGCACTGAGGAGAGCGAGGACAAGGACTACAAGGCGCTGTACGAGGCGTCTCAGAGCGAAGTGCGTCGCTTACGCGCCTTGCTCGCCACCTCCGAGCAACAGTTGCGCGAGGCTCGCGCGACTATCACGAGGCTCACTCAAGTGGTACGAATTACTTTAGTATATCTGTGTGTGTAGTTTGATATATGTTTGACCCATACTTATGTCGTTAATTTCTATGGTATGTGTAGTTAAGTCTTAAGTACGTCCTTTAGATATCTGAACAGTAATAATAATTCATCTCCGAAACTATGATAAAAGATTCGGATATATTTACGTTAAAGTTACAATCATTATGTTATCAATCAGGTTTGTTCCTGAATTTAGTTTCATGTGCAAGAGTATGTACTCTTGCTATGCGTAGCGTATGATACTCATCTACATCTAGATAGCCCTTACAATTGACAACTGTTCCTTTCCCTCCTTTCTTGTTTCAACTGTCCTATTGTCATTTATATGACGTCAAAGGTTCAGTATCCGCCATCTTGCAAGTAGAGTAGGACACACTCAAATTACAAAGTATGAATCTAAAATGATTTTTGAACCGAGAATTTAAAAATTCTGGTTCGTATATTCTAAAAGCACAAGTTGTGTAATAACTGACTGTAAACCCAACGTGCAAAGCTATATAATATTAAATTGTAAGTACTTACTAATGCAATGTTTAAAATGTGGCTCACATTTGTATATTTTTGCCTCTGCAAATGTTAAACAAGTATATTCTGTGTGCAATTTATTTATTTGATGAATTATTTTTAGCGCCTACCGAACCATTCGGCTCGTTTATCTTTTATTGTTTAAGTTATACCAAAATTGACGTGTTACGCATTTAGTTTTAAGTTCCGATAGTGGATTTTTATGATAGACTAGTTGTTGCCCGCGATTTCCTTCGCGTACAATATGAATTCTGGGACATAACATTTCGTTTCTATTTTCCAAAATAAAAGTAGCCTATGTTACTCCTTAGTATATCAGCTATCTGCTGGTAAAAGTCCCGGTAAAATCGGTTGAGCCATTTCAGAGATTAGCCAGTACAAACATACAGACAGACAGACAGGCAAAATTAAAATGTTGTTTTGTTATATGTATCGTATGTATATTCATATGCACGCAGTAAAAATCGGTTTCAATATTATTATTATATATTTTCAGCGTGCTTTTAAAATTAATACATAATAATAATGATTACGGTAATGATAAAATAATTATCAAAATTTCAAAGTATCAGTAAGGGTTACTTATGTCTAAGTAATGGCACTAATGACATTCACTATTCTCCATTGTCTATGTCCACACTAATTTGACACATAAATCTATTAATATTACAAACATGAGTCTCACCTTCACCGTGACTGTGTTTTTCGTAACGTTTCGTAATTAGCTCGAGTCTCGACTATTTTCAATGTTTTGACTAATTCCCGCCTACAGTACAACACTAATTATTTGCATAGACAGCTGACAGATTGGCGCGAGCTACCAACCTTAGCGTTTTATATTTATGGCCGCATATGCTACACTTGCATAGCGAAATTTCATATTTATCTTTATTTGCTTGGCGACGCTTTCTATTTGATATACTGTTGCGATTTACTAAGTTGATTTGTTTATATCATCATAATTTATATCTTAATTTTCTATGTAAGAATGCGACTTTTCCTCTGTACATTATTTCAAAATGTTGTTACTGAACAGCAGTGGAAAATTATGTTTTTCTTTATTTGCAGAACCAAAACTCATTGTCTGAAATCGAGAAACGAGAAAAGAGGGCCATGGAGAGGAAATTATCAGAAATGGAGGAAGAATTAAAGGTAACTTTCTTAACTACTACGTTTCTACTATACATATATATATATACGTGAGCAATCTCGTAGCGGACACATACACAACACATTATATATACCTGCAAGCATCATTTGATACAAGATATAGTGTAACCGTCAGCTTGACATGTTTGGATCTAAACCAATATGGCGGACATCAAGATAGCACCTGCCGCCAAGAGAGATAATAATAAAATTGACATGTTGGTGTTCGTTTTATAGCAATTGCAAAAACTAAAAGCCGAGAACGAAAGGCTGAGGGCTGAGAATCGTGCCCTTACGCGGGTCGTGAGCAAATTGACCAACTCTGCCGCCAAATAGGTAATTGTGTATATTAATTGAGCGTTCAGCTCAGTGGCGACACCGTGCGGCTTGCGCCGGAACTAAACCGATCGTCGCTCTCGCTTACACGTTGAAGTTCACATTTTCTCACACACAAACACTGTTGATATTTTGCTAGGCTATCTCACACGCCCTCCTTTTACCACCGCCAGCGGACGAGCGGCAGCGCATGAACTTGATCAATAAATATGTGGCAAGCGATTTATATAAAATACAAACGCTTTGGCACGCTTTTTAACGTTTTATTCAGGTGAAATGAGAACGTGTTTGATCTAACTTGCATACGAGTGATATTTTCAGGTTTTCTTTTGTTTACATTTCACGCAATGTTTTGGCTTTTTAACTAAACGTGCACACCTAAATGCGGTGTGCTAGCAAATAATTTATTTCTAATGTGATGTGATTTCAAAACTTCAATAAATCCATTTCAGTTAATTGTCAAATGTATTGTAGTAACGTATCGCTTTAATGGTAATCTCGAAAACGTTCAATACAAAAAGAACATAAAATATTCAAGCAGCTTAGCAGTAGGAGTTGCAAGACGTATATAAAATTGACATCATGAAACATACGAGGGCGGGTCAATAAGTCCGTGACTTTTTTGTTTTTCCGCCTCTTCATTGAAATGGCAACACTGCTCCCGTCAACAGTCATCTGTCAGATGACTCCTGTCAAAAATTGAACAAGCTGTGACATTTAGTTTGTTTTTGACAGCCGTTTAAATCAAACTACCGCGTTAACTGAGAAGAAAATGGAAAAAAGTGAATTTCGTGTGCTCATTAAGCATTATTTTTTGCGGAAAAAATCCATTACGCAAACCAAGGCTAAGCTTGATAAATATTATGGGGATTCTGCACCATCCATTTCAATGGTAAAAAAGTGGTTTACTGAATTCCGATGTGGCCGTACCAGCACGGAAAATGCCAAACGTTCTGGACGCCCAGTTGAGGTCTCCACATCCGAAACAGCTGAAAAAATACACGATATGGTTTTAGCCGATCGGCGATTAAAAGTGAGAGAGATTGTGGAAGCCAAAGGCATCTCGCATGGCTCAGTGGTTTCAATTTTAAATGATCATTTGGGTATGAGAAAGCTTTCCGCAAGATGGGTGCCGCGTTTGCTCACAATCGACGACAAACGCAAGCGTGTGACAATTTCGCAGGAATGTTTGGCGTTGTTCAATCGCAATATAAACGAGTTTTTGCGCCGTTTCGTAACCGTGGACGAAACGTGGATCCACCACAACACACCGGAGACCAAACAGCAGTCAAAACAGTGGGTTTCTTGGGGTGAATCGGCGCCAAAGAAGGCAAAGGTGGGTTTGCCAGCCAATAAAGTCATGGCGACTGTTTTTTTGGGATGCACGCGGTATTATCCACATTGACTACCTTCAAAAAGGAAAAACAATCAATGGCGAATATTACAGCAACTTATTGGGTCGATTCGATGAGGCATTGAAAGAAAAGCGACCGCACTTGTCCAAGAAAAAAGTCCTCTTCCATCAGGACAATGCACGAGTGCACACATGTGCAGTTTCTATGGGAAAAATCGATGAATTAGGCTACGAATTGCTCCCTCATCCGGCCTATTCTCCCGATCTAGCCCCTTGTGACTACTTCTTGTTCCCAAACTTAAAGAAATGGCTCGGTGGAAAGAGATTTGCCTCCAACGACGAAGTCATCTCACAAACAAATGCCTATTTTAAAGACCTCGACAAAACATATTTTTCGGAAGGGATTAAAAAATTGGAGAAACGTTGGGCTAAGTGTATAGAGCTCAAAGGAGACTACGTTGAAAAATAAATTAACTTTTTATCTAAAAATTTGTGTTTCATTTAAAAAGTCACGGACTTATTGACCCGCCCTTGTATATACCTTTATACTAGCGATTCGCGAGCGTCTTCGAAGCGAAGCGTCTGCATAGCAAATGCGTCACAAACCTCGGTTGCGAAATGAATTCGTTGCAGACGCTCAAGAAACTTGCTACGCGTGTGCATCCGCGGCGTGTTCGTTCGTAACGTATACGTCGCGCACTCGTTTTTCTGTAAAGACGCTCGCAATCCCTTAGTATGATAAGGCCTCATAGTCATAGAATAACGTCATCATATAACACGAATTACAAACAAAGCGTGTGAGCGAGACGACAGTATAGCGAGAGCACAGTCGCGCAGCGTCGCAGTATTTGTCGAGCCCCGCCCCACGATGATTAACAGTGTGTTATGGCGAGCATGCTTTGGTACATGTCTAACTTGCGTGCCGGCCTTGGCGCGTGTATTGTGTTCACGCATACGTTTCACGTATTCGAAGCGTACACGCAACGTTAACTGCCGACTAGACAATATTTGTCAATAGAACTTGATACCTTTAGCCGAAAAGGTATATCTAGACACAAAGCAAAAACCCTCATTTTGTTTGTACCTCTACAGTCTCATGTGTTAGGATAACTAAATAATTTCTTAGTAGACGTATCTACCCATATTATCAGAAATCCTTTATGTTGATTGTAAGCAATCAAAGCTAGCAAATGATAAAGGTTTATTTCAGTTCTATTTTGAAACTAAATTACTATAGTTTATTTACTTTCTTAATTTTTGGAGACGTAGCAGTTTAGAAATGTATTCCTAAATACAATAAACTTTGTAACCCTCATTTAAATCTACGTTAACGTTTCTTGTGCGTGTCGTTTGCGTCTGGTGTGCGTAACGTATGCATTATTGCACGCGCCTTCATTGTGTTTTATCAGAGGTATTAAATATGTAGCCCAAAGTTTGAAAATTTAGTTTAGAGGTGTGGCCATGATTCTCAATGAATTTCAATAGCGATTTTTGGTGTCTGTTGTGCGTACTAGAGATTTTTATATTGATAGGATTTCAAATCGGTTGTTATGTCTAATTCGTAGCTACCACTTTTTTTATGTCGGGGGGAAACCTTCAAAAGGCGCCTAGCTTTTTGGGGAGAAACCTCACTAAAACCACCCCGGTGGCCACCCTCAGCACCTGTAAGGCTCACCGGGTCCTCAGAAGAGACCTGCTCCGGAATGCTATTCAATTGATTGAGGGTGTCATTATGATGTGAATGTTTTACGAATAGCGAACCTTTGGTTAGATTCGCATAAGTGCGACACGAACACTAATAGGTAACGTTTCTATAATCTGATCAATTTTACTCTATTGATGTAAGTACCAATTTCTTCATTCTTCAGAAGTCTGATTAAAACACAATGTCCTAAAACAGTCAGCTAGCGTGTGTTGCATGATTTGTGATGCCGAGAGCATAATAATATCTCATACAACATTTTATATACCAATAGACAAATTGCAGTTGGTAATACAAGCGTGTCTATACCATCGGTTAACTTAAAAAAAGAAACGTACCTTCTGTCACCAACACTGAAATCCTGTCAAAGTAAATGACAAAATTTCGGCAACAGTTCCTTCGTATTGTATTAACAGAGTTCGAAATGCCCCATTTTATATCCTGTGTTTTTTTAATTTGTATTAGGCTATCATAAGTAAGTGCGACATGACATTGAGCTACTAAAGGCTTTGATTACAAAAGATGTGAACGACCCTAACATCCACAGCGTTTGTGCACTTGTAAATATGTGATATAGCTTTTATATTATTGTATAATATAAGGTTAATATACACTTGAAATTCCATGATCGAGGGAGCGAAGAGAATGAATTGCTATGGAATTATTGAAATTTGATCAGTTGGAAAATGATCTGTATTTTAAAATATCTACTTCGTATTGTAACCCTCATTTGATTAGGTATTGGGATTCAACTGGAATCATGAGATTTCAAGTGTATTTTGAATACATAATTGATTTTGTAAACATGTACCTATCACAGTATCTGTTTACATGCGATTCGTGACAGCCATAGAGATAAAACGTGACAATATACGGATTAAAAAAAGAGATAAGGCTGGACGTATCGCCTGTACCATTACAATACTTCTTTTACTCCCCCCGGTCCTAACAGGAATACATATTTGTATGGTTGATATCTCCAAAATTGTGACTAAAGTTTTCTACCAGCTACAGATCAGCCATAGCTCCCGATGTTTGCTCCGTTTATGTCATTGTATAATATTATGTTTTGATGTGAGAACCCATGTTGTACCTATGTTGTTTCTTCACCTGTTTGTCAACAATGTCTGCGTGTTCTGGCAAGATAATATAAAGTTTAATTTATAGTATTTATATAGTATTTTGTACCTCCATAAACATTGATGTTTGAACCTAAATCTAATGAACACCCAGACATTATTTAATTATATGGCATTAGTGTTAAACGTCATATTGATAAACAATTTATAAAATTTCCAGTATCAACAAACGCTCCAAGCTGAAAACCAGCGGCTGAAGGACGAGAATGGAGCCCTAATCCGGGTGATCAGCAAACTGTCCAAGTGAACAGCACCTCGCGTCTCTCCTACGATCACATAGTATAGCACGCCACGTTATGATCGGCAACACGTCTCTAAACGACGTGCTCTTTAGTCTGTTATTTCAAAGGTTTATCCGTATATATTTCGTGTTATTTATTCAATGTTGATAGGCACTTGAACTAAAAACTGTTTGTTATCTTTTATTTGGGAATATTTAATTGAAAAACACCCAAGGTATCCGATACGAATGTGTATAGTCGATCCGCCAAACTGTTTTGCTGCTATCTAAAGTTATATTTACGATTGTAAGTTATTTAAAAATTTGGTATGAAGTGATATAATATTTACTATTATATTATGAGAATATACAGCCAGTATAAATTATTAATGATCTTATCGCCATTTAATTTAATGTTATAACTTAATGATAAAAGCTGTGGGCAGATGCCAAGTATTTATAATAACGGATTATCGAGCTATACAATCACATACAGACGACAATGACTGCAGTACAAAATCTGTATATTATGCTTTTATGTGTTATAGCAGTCCATACTGGTATTTTGTCATTCTGTAGTGTACACTTTACATTTATATATTTGAAATATTATTGTTCCTGATGTTAAGTTTGTCTACCGTTCCATTATTGAGTGTATTGAGTTTGAGATTCCACAAAAACATTTTATAATCGTTATTTCTACGTAAACTGTCATTTGAAATGAAATGGTGAAATTATATTTTGAAATATTCAGCGGTAATACAAACTCTAAGCATAGTTATTCACAAATAATTATTGGTAGAGTATTTTTTTCTATAAATCCGCGTCGTTCGCACAACGAATTTGTTTTGCTTTACGGTGGCAGCCGCTAAATCTAGACTGATAATAATGACAGTATTGCTGGTACTATGAACTTACACTCATCTTGTTAAGTGAATAATTTCGTGTTGCTTGTCTTTTGAAGAGAAAAAAATCAAAAATTGTCAGAGATGAGGAACTACTTTATCAAAACAATCTTGACTGGTAATTTATAATTATAATCATGAACGAAGGTCAAGTCAAACACTATTATAGTTTTAACACTAAACCTTTTGCAAAGTATACACAGAATAACCAATAGCACTACACAAGTTTGAATCACGTCAAAATTAGTCTTCATAAGGCAATCTTATGAAACAACTCATGACTGTGTGATTTAAACACAAATCTGTTCCATTTTAACTAAAACAAGAAGTCTTCAGACTACACTTGTTTAATATTTATTGTTTATTAATTTCCACATCACACGATTAATTCCGTTATTATTGTTATTTATTTGCGTTTAGATTTTATTGAACAAGGGTTGACAGATTTGAGTGGAAAATGAATTTAATACCTTCGTTTAAAGTACTCGAGGCATCGGGCAACGAGATTTGTTCCACTTGATTTGAATGTATAAGTTATTATTATCATCATAATATTCATACACTGTGTACCAGTTTCGCCCAAGTCGTCAACCTTCATTACTCCACATTCAGATTGTCATAGTTTAATTTTCGTGAAGTGTGTTGTGTTGAGTTTGTGACTATAACGCACCTTTTCAATTTCGTTTTGAGAAAGTATTATGTACTTATTGAACGTCAGTACTTAGTGACGTCACAGGGCCACCAGTATCAGGGCGCATCGATTGTGTTTTCGTGTAACGTTTCTTTTTAATAGCGTTTTTAAGGAATTACGGCTTTATTGATTTGTTTTACATTATGATCATCATGACCAATCATGGTAAAAGTAATAAAATTGTTTAAACATTAGCATTTTATTAGATGCATGGACTTTACAGTAGCTGCTATTAAAATGAGATGTTATGTTATATATATATGTATTTCTTGTCGATAACTTTTGACATATTCCTACATAAGTGTAAAGTAGATTAGTTTTACTATGATTTTTTGTAGAGGGCTTGATTCACCCGACTTAAATGTTATATATAGCTATGTATGTCTCTTAGATATTGTTAAATATTATATCTCTGATTGAAATATACCTCTAAATTGTTAAAAATGAAATAAATATCTTCGCGACATATGTATCTCGAATTACTAATATATTAATGTATAGTTTTTTCTAGGCAATAGTCTATAGCCGATTGGATTGATTTGTGATATATCGATTTTGTACGACAATCATAGAAAGTTTTTTGTATTAGCGAAATAGACTGTTGAATATCTATAAAGTATGAATTGATCGGGGCCATAAAAGTGAATATTAATATGTTTTGCCTCTAATAAATAAGGCCTAGTCCCTTTACGGACCAGTAACTTATAATAATGCAATGGCTAGTGTACACCTTGTCATTAATGAGACTCTCTCAAATATCCAGGTCTGATTAAATAACTTGCCACTGCAGGCCACGGACTCGAGCACTAGCATTGTGAAGCGGCCTATGTATCTGTTATATACATTTAACTTATGTGTCATTATCGGGTCCATGGGTCTCAAGAGGCATAAAAATGCTAGTCTAAATTAGCGGCGATGTGAGTCCCGCGTGTGAACCGGTCCAGACGGCCATATACATAAATCTTTGCCATGTTCCCAGCACTTGTTTGTAATGAGTTACTCTTAACAGTTATTGATAATATTATTTGAGGCTTTCACATCTATTCAGTCAAATATGTCGGTTGTGCAGTTCTCAACTCCACCACCTTTTGTTTGACAATAAATACGTAACTATGTTTGAAAGACCTCGTGTATTAATGTAGCTGTTTATTATTATCTCAGTTTTTGCCGAGCTGTAATGAAATTAACGTTAATTACTATTAAAAAGGACGTTTATGTAAGCTTGTTGAAAATAATGTCGTGAATATTGAGACATATTTAAACGGAACAAGAGTTTGTTAAAGTGGTAAAAGATATTCGTAAATACTATAATATTCTGTATAAAATTTGTAAACCAACATTTTCATTTAACTTAGTGATCTTGAAAATTTTTGTTCAATAAAGTTTTTATTTATTTGAAGAGAAAGTTAAAATAAACAGTTCTTCATTATATTTATTGTTTTGTTTTTGTTTTTATCCTTATTTGTTTTAGGGCTGAGTTTTCCAATGCCAGGTAAATATTAACTGAGGAATAACTTTGAATATTTGACATTTTTTCCATACTAAAAAGTGTTGAATGTCAATTTTATCCTACAGTTAAAAATTAACTGACGATTGAAAAATCTGCCCATATTATTAGTGCTATTATTTCCTTCAAGATCCAGTGAGGATCGCGTATTCCAGAAAGATGTTTTATTTATTTTTTTAGTGAGGTTATCCATTTTCGTAAACCGAGAATGCAGGCATACAGTTAATTTATGTTTTAATTTTTGCTATTCTTTTTAGGATCACGTCCTTCTTCGAATTCTCAACTAATTGATTGTTCAGGTCAAAAAATTGGATTATTATTACGATAATTTTACGTAATTATTACCACTGAATGACTGACGCGTGCCTTTGCTTATTAAATTAAGTTGATTATTAACAAAATGTGGGGCTTTAGGCCCTGACGTTGACGTTGCCCCTATTACTTGACACAACCACATATGAATGGCCACCATTTTGAAAAATAACACGAATTTGAAATAAATATCAGACTAACGACTATCGTTTTGAAAACATGTAGCACGAGGATATATGAAATCAATGAAACCAAAGTTAAATAAATACGTTGACTCATGGTCTTGCGGCCTGGATAAAGAATATACAACTAGGTACTAATAAATACTTAGGTGAATACCTAATGTTTGTCTGTAGGTGTTCAATATCATATTATATTCCAATTGTATTTACACGTTGTATTAATAAAGTAAAATACTATTATACTACTTTATAAACAATGAATGTTAGTACTTTTACCTAAAAATATATTTATGGAAACATCAAGTTTCAATTAGGTAGATCACTTTGAGGGTTCCGTGTCCAAAGCGGTTTTCCATGACGACATTTTCAGTGGTGATGTATTTTTGATGCCGTTGTAACAGTAAACTTGATTTTTTATTAGTGTTGTGGTACGAAGCTTATCGAGCACGAGTCGCATTTCCGACTTATTCAGTTTTTCATTTGCAATATTTACATCATCTAGGTATTGTAGGGACTCGATAAAGAAACTGCCTTAGCACAGGTGGCTTTAAGTCCTTTTTTCATTATATAGGACGCTTATCATAGTAGATTTACTGATGTAAATATGGAATGACAATACTTGAAATTACCGTCCTGACGGTTTGTAAGAACTTGTGATTACCTTGTGTGGGTTTTAAGGAAATGCACTGATGCTTGTCGTATGTATATAACATTTTATACGTGTTAGAAGCTTTTACTGTTGTATTTAGTAAAATCGGTCGAGGAAGTTGTTCTCTTGAGAAAATAAGAATATCATCGTTCCTTTGAGGGACTTTGTGTGTGGTCTCATTGACTACACAGTATTTTGTGGTTTTAGGTAGGTACTTACATGTATATGGTCGAGTAGCCTATTACATTCACTACTCTAGTGCTATCTAATCCCTCATTGGGCGTTGAATTGGACATTGTTTAGTGTTTAATGATGATGAAAGAGAAATCAAATATTATATTATGACTGAATACTATTATTTTTTGGATAAAAAATGGTACGATGTAACTCGGATTTACAAAACCATATTAGACTCATGGACATGACAGTGGGAAATATAATATTGTATTGATTTATGTAAGTAGGGACATGGTGCATGTTGAGAAGGGGATGCAGCTTAGGGTGAAAATATTTGGTTACACTTATATCAATCAATTGCCCCACTTAAAATGAATATGAAAAGATATTATCTTTTCATTGCCTCGGACTTACGTCCAATAATTAATGATGAGTTAAATATCAAAATACCCATATAATAACATTATTTGTATGTAAAATAATAATTATTGCCAATATTTTTGTGCTTAAGTACTTTGTAAGACGTTCATAAAGTTGCATATTAAATATTAAATCACATGCGACTGAGATTTTGACGGGATCCTTTTAAAATAACTACGTTACACAAAACGCCCGCCACAGGCACGTGTGTCATAAAGATAACTGTATAAAATATTTCGTTTCAATTGGTACAATCCACTTCTGACAATAATACTATGCTAAGCCTTTAATCCTACTTCTTGAAACTTTATACTATCCTGGTACTTATACATTGAAACGCAAAGTAGTTCTATCATTTATTTCTGATGAAGATGTTGATAAAATTAAAATCAATCTGTGAGCTGTCTGTATGCCAACTTTAGGTTAGGCTAAATATTATAAAGAAATGTAGGTACTTAATAAAATAACAATATGTATCTATTATATTAGATCAATATATTAGATGTTATGCATATCAATCATAAATTACTGTAGTGTACGTACGAATGGATTCGTTTTCATAAATGTGTAGTTTCCGATATAATAATCTGAATGTTTTGAGTAGAATATAGGCACCGATGATGTTCTCCGATGTTAAAAAATACGTAAACTTATATAGGCATTCTTAACTTTAATGTGCGTCCAAGGAATCCTTCCCCTTTGGCTTTGGCTGATTAGTTTCTCAAGAACCAAATTCCTGTCCTATATTTAGCCCTAATTCTTTATAGATACTGTTTCTAATATTTTTAGATACTGTTTATCATTCATATGAGGTTTTTAGAGTTGTACCCTGAGTGTTTTCTCGATTTTTCGAAATTTCTTTGTCCACCGTTTGTGAAAATCTTATCTAGCCGTAATTATAACATATTAAATACATAATACCTAAAATATTATTCATTGGTCCACAAGATGTTAAACCGTGTTCTATTCTGTATTACATATAATAATATTATCTTGTTAAATGCTAAAGTACTATAGTAAAAATAATATATTTGGAAATTAGTACACATATTTACTACACTATGTTAGGATTTCCTGCAGTCAGAAATGGGATCCTTGAGTTTATTTATAACCCTTGTTCATGTGCCGAATTAAATAGGTATGCAGTCTCGGGATCCCTCGGTAGGTATATTACAGAATCTTCACTCTGCAGAGAAACATTATCTTATTGGAATATTGATGTTATATTTATACCAACTCTGAGTGTGTTTTTCTATTTTCACATAATGATGTACCTAGTTCCTTTGAGTTAGTCGTCTCTCAGGGCCTCAGTTTCAAATCGTATAAAGCACTTTGATACGCACCTACAACAAACGCAAGAACCACCAGAGACAATCACACGTAATCGTATGTCTAATTGATTTAACTTTCTGATTACAGTATTGGACCTCATTGCGACGATTACTGAGTCAAAATATATTATGTGACTTTATAAATTGATTTATTAGCATTAATTTTAAGTATGTAACTAGACGTCGAAGAATTTTTTGCGGTCAGTGTGAGAGAAGGTAGTAACATCGGTGTTCGAAGGTGCTTGTAGCATGGTAACAAAGAGCTCGATAAACCAGGAGCTCGAACTATGTAATTAGCTTGATTATAAAATCTTATTTACACTGTTATTTATATTTATTTTATAAGTACGTATGTTGTATTTGAGATGGGGCATCGATCCTAAAAGCCCCTTATTTAAAAAAAGGTTCATGAGTGTATCATTAGGTAATCGTCGTAGGTGATCAATCTGTTATCCCTTATAAATATTTATATTTGATATTTGTAAATAACCATTGTACCTACTGTATAAATATTATATAATATGTATATTATTATATGTATATGAACTTATCTACTATGTTATTTATAAAGCTATCGTTGTCTTCTCGATGTCTTGTCAATTTTATACAAATAAAGGAGTTGGTAAAATAATTAAGTAGTTTCATTTCATTTAAATAGTTTAGAAAATTGTAAAATTAAGAATTAAGATTTCAGATAAAGGTCCAGGATTACCTACTTTGAGGAAGGATCAGCTGCGTATACAGTTAATAAATCTAGCAAGCAACTTTCGTATTCACGTTGGACTTCTAGTAGGTACATCTCTTCAATAATCAGCACACTGATTGGTAGTATGCCACTCCACCTACCTATTCCTATAGGGGGTGCACTACAAGTGGGGGAGGGGAGGTTTACAATAATTTTATAATTTTTTTGGCTAGTACCATTATGTTTTGAAAAATAAGTTTAAAGAATTGCTCGGCAGAGTCTAATATGCTACGATAATCTCAGAAAGTGTAAGAAATGAGTACGAGGCTCTATTGGCATTTGTTCAGTAATGTTTGACTTCCTAGCCTACATCAACCTGATCCTATCTATAACAGGTACAGAACAAGGAAAACAGGAATTAGTCAAATACAGTAAATAAACACATACACATTCAGAACATTTATTTAACGAATCCGTCTAAATTAAAATTATTGTACATATAAAATATAACAAAAATATTACTGTATAATCTGATGAACACTTAATATTTAATCACAATTATAGTTTATGATGTCCTTACTTCTGTTCTAGGAAGAATATTAATTTTATACGCCATGGCATTGGCAGAAGCTGGTTGCAGGCCAAGATGAGTTTAGCGATAATCACGAGTCGTGATGTCGAGATCATTCAAGTACCTAAAACGTTTCTAATTCGAGGCCTATTTGTTCCCACTATGTTCTATAATATTGATTCATTAATTGCGTTCGTAAAAACAATTGAATTAGTCTTTTGATAAAGGAATAGTAGGTACCTACAGTGAACAAAAAAGTTACCAGTTAGTCTTTAATTAAACAACATATATAGTAAAATTGATAGGTTTTTGTCCTAGGTAGGTACTTAGTTGATAATATAATACAGTCTACATCGATTTTAGGTAGAATGAAATAATTTACTACTTGTAGAAGTCTCAGGTAGGTCTAGAATTTTACAGGCATTGGGTTTCTGATATCTTAATATTAATTCTAACTTAAACAATAATATTTACAAAACAATATGTAAGAGGAAATATAAAGCAGTAGGTATATAATAGGCACATGTCAGGTTAGTACTCCACCATTATCCCTTAATAATTCCGAATTTATAGTATAAAGGTATCCCGATAAAGAAACTACATAATACAAAAGGAACAATAAGAATATAAACTAAATAATATTCCTTATTTTAACATGTTCATAAAAGCATTATTTTATTCGCAGAATTATTTTGGCATCAAATTCAAATTGTTCGATATACAACAATAAATACATTTTAATAACTAAATACATAAAGTATTTGTAATACTTTTTGTTCGTAGTGAGTTATTGTAAAAAAATATGAACAAAAAGTACTTACACGAGAGTTAAGACTGCAATTCTGATATGTGAAGGTGTCACAAATGTACATAATGCATCGAGTTGTTGTGAAGAGACTAGACCTTTTCTGGGGTATAATAATAATATAGTATGTGGAATTTTTTATATTTTTCTCCGATCCGACGGTGGATAAGTTACGCATAAAATAAAGTTAAACACTTGTAACAATTGACAACGATATATAAGAATTGCAGTCTTAAACATACCACACGAATCCAACACATTTACATCTTTGGTACAATACCTAGTAAGGGTTGGTGATCAACTAGCAAATGGGACTCAGAACTAACCCTAAAACTATCGTATCGTTTGAACACTCGAGTCAATGGTAACCACTTTTAAGGGAAAATTTACAGGTAACATTTACACTGAGGAACACCAATTTAGCGTCGGATTTGGTTACCTAAAAGTCTTACGAGCCACTTGGAGTCTGTCAGCGGTCAGCGCACAGCGACTCCGTTGATCGTGACGACTGCGCTCGGGCCGGTCGGTTCGGGCTCATACGCAGAGTCCGTGTCGCTTCGTCTCCCGTAAGCAACGTTATCGGCAATCCTTTCGCTGTACGGCGAGTCGTACACGTTGTCGGAAACGTGATCATAGATATGTCGTCCATTCGTGTCATGGAGTGTTGCATAACTCATCACTGCGGCGTTTTGGTCTTCCTTACGCTCGGCTCCTTCGATGTTCTCTGTGTTCTTCACTGGCGTGGCTTTCCGGCTGGAAAGAGACAATAGTTTCATTATTAATAATTTCAAAGGGAAGTTTGATATAAAACTTATAATTTCGTATACTTACAGCCTCAAATAAATGACTCCCAATAACATGAGAAGGAAAAGCACAACACCGCATCCAACTCCAACACTAAGCGGCAACGTGCCATTCTCAGCGGCTTCGTTGCTGATTATCTCACAGCTGGGCTCCTCGCCAGACCATTTACCATCATCCATACACTTGCGGAGGAAGGGACCTACTCTCTGGAACTGGGGCAGGCAATGGTACTCGATGGAACTACCGAACAATGTGGAGCTGTTCGAAATGATGATACGACCGTTCTCAATTGTACCCGGTGACTTGCAGTCGATAGCTGAAAGTAAAGAAACGAAAAATATTAGATACAAATTGATTTTATAAGCAGGGTTCTGAAATACCGATAGGTTTTTAACCGACTTAAAAAAACGTGGTTATTGATTCGACCCGTATGTATGTAATAGAAATATCAACTTACGAATGCAGACAGGTGGAGCTCCACTCCACTGTCCCTTTGGTTTGCAGGTCCTTGTTTGGTTTCCTTGTAGTCCATATCCTCGTTCGCAACGGTAGTGCGCCTCTCCTCCAATACTCAAGGTCGATGTGGCAACTAGCAGACCTATGCTGCCCTTTATCTGGATTGATGGGTCTGTGCATGTTATTTCTGAGGGAAAGAATAAAGAAGTGATATTAAAGTCCATAGTGATATACAACTGCCAGTATCTCATAACAATCGAGGTATAAATCCTTTCATGCGTAAGTAGGTAAACTATAATGTCAACTAAAAATGCTTACCTTTGCATACTGGTGCCTCTGAGCTCCATGTGCCATTGTCCTGGCACAGTCTTCGAGATACGCCATCTAGTTGCCAATGCTCATTGCACTCGTACAAAGCAGCTGCACCGTAATATGTTGCGTTTGTTGCTAGGGTCACTACGCCATTCTGGATTGGACCAGGGTTACCGCAATCCACATCTGGAATGAAAAATGATCAGAGATTAAATTTTCTTGATCTTTGGTAGTTTTAATTACAAAGGTAGCAGAAGTTATCGTAATTGTTGGACTGGTTCAAATAATAGTTTTTAAACTTACATTGACATCTTGGTGTAACTCCGCTCCATTGGCCATTATCTTCACAGGTGGAGATACTCTCGCCAACCACCTTATAGCCTCGTTCACAGCGGTACTTGACGAGAGCTCCAATCCGGTAGCTGTTACCAACGCTGGTGGTGACGGCGGTTCTAATCAGAGTGCGTCCGTGGTTGCGGTCGTTACCAGTCACTGACACGATGCTGTTCTCTGGTACCAAAGGATCCGAACAGCGGATTTCTGGAAACATTTAATTGGTAAGTTAAAAAATTCATGACAAATGCAATATTAGTAGTCAGTAGAAGTCATGAAGGCTATCGGTATACGTCAAACACTTTGTGTTTTGAAGTCTATCTTTCACAGGCTTTTTCACATGGTTATACTGACTTCCAATATAGGTTTTGTTATTGTGGGAACGAAAGAAACAATTTACCTTCACATCTCGGAGAGGACTCGCTCCATCGGTAGTCTTCGGTGCAGATCCTTCGAACAGGACCCACGAGCCTGTAGTTTGTGGTGCACGAGTACTGAATCACGCTGCCCAGGTGAGTGGTTCCGTTCAAAAGATCAGCTGAACCGTTTGGAATTGGTGGAAGTTTACCGCAGTCCACATCTGGAATAAGTTTATTATGTATATAAAATTATAGATTAGGTTTACTTTATTATTTCGTTTTCAAGATCATCCTCTATTTAGCTTTTAAACCTTCGAAGAACTTTGGAAGAAGATAAAAAATATGTATAGATACTTACATTCACATTTGGGTGATTCTCCCGACCATTCTCCATCAGTCTGGCACGTGAGACTGGACTCGCCGACCAGTTTGTGACCCTTCTCACAGTGGAAGTCGATGGTGGAGTGCACGTTGTAGTCGTAGGCCTCAAACTCTCCACCGACGGGAGCCTCGGGTTCCGCACACGATATCACTGTAGCAGTAGTTAAAAATTAAACGGTATGGTCTCATGTTAAAGTTCGTATTATAGCTGAATATAGTTATAAAATCAATAAAAAATCGTATCTGAGAGGTATTAAAAATGTTTTTTGTTAATTGTGAGAAAGTTTTGGCAAATGGCTCATTTCATTTTGAATGGAACTATTAAATACATGATACGACTAAAAACTTACATGGCAAAGAATCGAAATCAGAGAAAAACAGTGTTCTTCTTTTCTATGCCTTCAGATGTAAAAAACTATGAAGTTATGCAACTTACATTCACAAGATGGTATATCATGAGACCATTTTCCGTCCCTGTTGCAAGTGAGGATCTCCGCACCATCAAGCCAGTAGTCAGGCTCGCAGTTGAATCGAGCGATGGAGCCATACGTTGTGGTGCCGTTCAGCAGTATGAATGAACCCTTATGCACTTGAGCTGGTGTTCCACAGTCAACATATTTGCAGGACGGTGGTGTCCCTGACCATGATCCTCCAAGACTACAGGTTACGCTCTGGAAGATAGAGAATTATATTTTAACTGGTGTGTCGATCGGAAAACCTGCTGTTTTAAGGAAATTCTACCTTTCAAAATATTTGTTTGATGAGACAGTAAACTGACACATATTTTAGCACATTTCTTATGGAGTAAACGTTGCGGTTGGGATGAGTGTCAAATTATTTTGGTTAATATGTAATATCGGTCGTTCAAATGCAACGTAACGTAAATAATACACGTACTCAATGTAGCTACTGATAATTATCTAGGTCACGTTCATTTTTGGGATTTTTTGACCACTGGGACTTACATGGGAATAATTTTAGCGAAATTTTCGTGTCATTACCGTTATTAATATCGTTTCCTTAAGTTCCACTTACCGGAGGTCCGAACAGAATGAATCCATTTTGGCAGCTGTAAGTCGCCAGGGATCCAGCCTTATGACCATCAACTGTAACGATAGCTCCAGTAACAGGAGGAGGTTCGGGACACCAGTCAAACAAACATTTGGGAGCTTCGCCACTCCAGATCCCATCGTCAATACACATTCGTTCGGCTTCCCCGACCAGGGTGTAGTTTTCTCGACAGGAATACACTGCTTTAGCGCCGTGTGTCGTCCTGTCGTCGACTAGAGATACGTCTCCATCTTGAATTGGCGTCAGTCCACCGCAGTTCACGTCTGAAAGAATAAAATAACAATTCGTTTTGATTAGGTATATGCCGAATATTTCCTAATTTGGAATCAGTGAATGCTTCAGACACGATTCAAGCTGGTATGGTCGCAATATCGTAATAATGACTCGTGTTCAATTTATTTGCAAGATAGGAATGAGGGACCTAAGGTCACTTCGCCACTTATTTCTAGCAATCAGCTTTAATGTTACACGAATATTGCTGATTTGAATGATAGATTATTGAAAATTTACCAAATATCAACAATCATGCAGAATTTCATAACATCTACTTACATTTACAGCTGGGTGCAGCACCAGACCAGAATCCATCTTTCTTGCACTCCCTAGTTTTGTCCCCTAGAAGCATGTGTCCCTCTGGACATCTGTAGGCGATGGAAGCTCCAACTTGGTAGTTGTTCCCTTCAATGGTGGTATTCAGCAGCTTATCCGGACTTCCACAAGAAGGAGGCACTAGAGAACATACATCGTGTCAAAATTATCAACTGTAGGAATAAGGTACTAATCTATGTACTGTTTCTGTCAAGACGCAAAACACCCGTTTGAGAATGTTCTAAATAGTTGTAATGATAAATAGTGGCGCATAGGACTAAGTTTAATGTATGTAGAAATGATTGCATGATATGGTTTGAATGCACTATGGTGATAAAATCCTGATAAAAAACGATGGCGTCTAAAACCTTGTTTATTGAGTAAATCTGTCATGTCCTCGCTAGCAATGGAATCGTACAGCGAATAAACAAGGAATAAATAACATCTTTCAATAACAATAGTTTGAACAAGTCGCTTTGCAATCATAATAATTGTTCCACAATCGATTACAGCGCTCCCTAGTGGCAATAAGAAATTCTGATTGAATTGATGCAGCGATAGTACTTCGGGAATAAACTGACTTTTTTGCTTTCATTTTCTTTCTAGGTATGTCAAGGCTTTGTTAGGAAATCTATGATTGAATTTATTTCTATTGTTAGCTGCTAGTTACTCACTTGAACAAGTCTATCTAATTTAAGAGAAAGACTCCAGGTTTTCATATTAACCCGGTATCTTTTAGATAGGTTAGAATCGAATCACGTCATAGATAATGGTCAGCCGTTGCATTTGTAAATATCACGACAACATTACTGAAAGAAAATTCATTTCCCGGACATCGTTTTGTTTAATGTCCTACACTACTGTTCCGAACTACAAAATGCACTATTCTTGGAACTCTCCAGTTTTAGTTGGACGTTACTGTCGTTAACCAACTGATTGGTGTCGTACCTCTGTAGGTAGGAACAAACCGCTGCTCGCTTCGGTTTCCACGAAAATACACTTTGACACGAAACCTGCGGCGAACTACAAATAGCAGAGACAACGTTGTAAAGTATGTACCAATTGAAAATAGCAATTTATAAGAACGAGTATTTCATTGGTAGAATAATCGTAAGTAGAATTGGTCTTGGGTTAGATTGCTGGATCGAGCACATCTATATAACGGTTTCGCCAAACAGATACTATAATAATAAATAAATAAATAAATCGTTTATTCAAAATAAAGAAGTACACGTTACAACAATATCGTGACACTTGCCTAGAATTTATGAAGACATTTAGTATATAATGGGGATGATGACAGGGTATGAAAATTAAAAATATAATTAGTCCGTAACTTAGGTAATAAAAAAATATTAGACACGTATTTTTTTATTTTGTTGTATAATAAAACAATACTTAGATAAAACGAATCAAAGTTTAGGAGTGGGGGCTAAAACGTCATTCCTTAGTATAAAATGTACTGAGAAGTGACGTCACGCGACATTTCAAATCAATATATCTTCGAAACTATTCGTTTCCGTAAGAAAATAAAAAATACGTGTCTAATGTTTTTAAATAATCTACCAGACGGACATTAAAATAAAAATTAGTCGTCTACCCCAATGACCCCCATGCTAGGAAAACTCATAATCAATAGGAGATTCCTATGATCCCCTGTCATACACAGGAGATGATAGACATTACTCATAACTATCAAAAATTTGTGTTAATTATTTTACATTAATTTAGTCCTCTATGAACGAAAGACGCAATGCACCTAATGTTTAATTATAAGGGTTGAGACAACGGGACGCATGTATCCGCGTTAGTACGAACAGGATAAATAGGCAATTTCAATTACTATTGCACAACACTGCGTATGTAAATTGCTTGTAATAACTGCGAACAAGTAACATTTTAGAAACATTCGCTTGTATGAATATTTATTGTTAGTAACGTACATAATTATTTATAGGAAGGTATTAAGTGCTAAGACATCTATATATATATAAAAATCAATCCCTTTTTCCTTTGGTCACGGCATCACGCGTGAATGGCTGGACCAACTACATTGATTCCTTTTTTTTGTTATATTTGTTATTATTAGAATAAGGCTCTTAAGACAGAAAAAGTCGCGGGCAGAAGTTAGTGTATGTATAAAGTTTAATTTAAATATTATCATATGTTTTAGAACATGGGTCTCTGTCTCCTCTACATATAGAGGTATAAGAGAGGTTTATTATAACTGCTTGTAGGTGGGTTGCAGAAGATCGTTTGAAAAGTCTTTAATGTTTGTAATAAAATATTTTTGATTATATGAGATTAAGATTAATAAAGCGCATTCAATAAAGTTTATAATTGTAGAACTTGTTAGGTCAACGAATGCATTTCCGTAAGTGACGTGGCACACTAATGGCTAAGAAACTAGATAACTCTTCATAAAATGCTGAATTATTACGATAAAATATAACAGTAATGGTGCTATTGGATAGACTTTTCTTAAGAACTAGGCTGATATATTTATCTACACTAATATTAAGTTTTTTTTTAAGGGGGGAAAATCATTGAATGACTGCTCTCGCCTGGGTAGGCGGGAGGAGTGTCAGACTCTTACTGACTAAAAACCACCCCGTTCCTTCTCCTGCACGTCGAGCCGGAGCCCCGGTTACCCGTTAGGTTCTCCGCGACACACTAATATTAAGTATAAAGAGGAAAGACATAACTTTTTGCTTGTTTGAATTGAATAGGCTCAGAAAGTACTGCACGCTTTTCAAGAAGCTATATTTAATTAGAGAAAACCCAATAAAAAACTCAAATTCTCTCAGAAACGGACAAAGTCGCAGGCAATAGGTAGTGATGAATAATTATGGACGTTAATGGCTTAGACTGTGTGTGTTGGTCGAAATTGGACGCATACTGTGAGGCAGAGCAATATTATATCCAGGTTACACAAACGCATGTCATAGACAAGGATATTACTGTCAAAGAGCCACAACCACAAAGGCATATGATGTGCTTTGTCATAAATATCACATTGGCTACGAGTGACATTGGATGCATCGTGTGTTCAAAGGAAATTGCGAATTCTCGCAACAAATCGAAATGCAAACAGAATACAACGTAGAAGAAATGACTTAGATTGGTGTTTCTATGGAAAAACTATTAGGCATTTGTCCATTTTCTTGGAGACTGAATCGATGAAAAGAAAGGGGGTAGGCAGGTACACCTAAATATAATGACAATTGAAAAAAATACTTGGTCAGATCAATATTTAAGACAGAAGCGGATAATCTATACCTACTTGTTAAATTAATTATTAATAGTAAGTATCTCTTACGTAAAAGTTCATACAATAAGTGTTGAGTCTACAGTCGTATATAGATTAGTTGAAGCTTAACGCTACTCGAAGTGTCTATGTAGAAGATTATTATGATACTTAGTCCAGACTGCCTCGTTGGCCGAGTGGTCGCAAGTGCGACTTTTGGGCAACGGGTCTCGGGTTCGATTCCAGGGTCGTGCAAAGTATTACTGAGTTTTAAAAAAAAATTACAGAAGTAGCACCGAGTTTGGAATTGTGCCCGGTATTTGGCAATAGGCTCACTCCCTATTACATGGGGCTCATAACAAAAATAGTGAAAAGAGTTGATATAGAAGACTATAATTATAATTAGTCCATCGCAAAAGAAATATAGATAAGTGGTGAGTTACTGATATCTACTTACCGCTGTACTTAAGAGTTATAGATATAGTACAAAATCGTTACTAAGGAAAAGTTACATTAAAATAAATGTGTCTGAGTGCCGCCGAAAAAACTAAGGGTAAATGTTTACATTTTTCCTTGAATGATTAAATATGAAACAAAATACGTTTCGTCCCTGTTCTAAGGTAGAAAGGCACAAAATACGCCTGACAAGAAATTCCTAAGAAACAGCTTAAAAGAGTTGCATAAAACAGTAGAAAACTTCGCAACATACCTTCGCGTTGCACATTCGCTGGGTTCACATTCGATTAGGAAAAGGATATGTACCTATGTATGACACTCACGGTACTGGCAGATCCAGTGTAGGTAGTCCAAGTTGCAGCCCACGTCGTTCCAGAGCCACGCTCGACCTCCATCCAGCACCACGCAGTTCTGTTCACCATTGTAGTTGTTCGGCTGATCCTTGCCCCAAGTCGGCTTTTGTACCAGTTCACCTGAACGCAAAAAAGGTCTATAGCTTCAAATATTTTTATCCTCGTGGAAAATCAGGGAATAGGGTAGACGACTAATTTTTATTTTAATGTCCGTCTGGTAGATTATTTAAAAACATTAGACACGTATTTTTTATTTTCTTACGGAAACGAATAGTTTCGAAGATATATTGATTTGAAATGTCGCGTGACGTCACTTCTCAGTACATTTTATACTAAGAAATGACGTTTTAGCCCCCACTCCTAAACTTTGATTCGTTTTATCTAAGTATTGTTTTATTATACAACAAAATAAAAAAATACGTGTCTAATATTTTTTTATTACCTAAGTTACGGACTAATTATATTTTTAATTTTCATACCCTGTCATCATCCCCATTGCTCTCTTATAAAATCCAAATTGATATTAGTGGCAAGATATTTTCTTCGTATATTACAAATAACGAAATGCCTAAACTTTTTTTACATCAGAGATAGTTTTTCAGATTACATTACATCAGAGTTAGATTTTCAGTCGTGTTCAAGCGAGTATAATGAATTCTTACCATCAACCCATTTCCAGGTTCTGGAAGTTAGCCCTGGTTCCTTTTGTGCTCCGATCCAGACCAGCTGAGTCTTCAGCTGAGGTTTTCTTCGTTCCAGCTCTTGGATCAAGAAACTCGATGTCGCTCCCTAAAGAAGAAGATTAAAGTTAGCATTTACTGTTTACTGAAGACATAATATATAGGCATTACTGATTTTCTCTGATGATATACGCCACAGCGTCTTCTACTTGGTAAGTTATATTGGGTAATTTCCTATGATAATAACTAATATAAACAAGCCTCGGAGATACAAATCTGTACAACAGTAATGCCGTAAAAATGCAGAACACAAATCTAAAAGATCAGTTTTTCATTAGGTACCAATGATATTTAAAATTTTTAAATCTATCGCATTATTATAATTTTGAATGTCAGTTAATAATTTGCCTGTAGATGTGTACGGACACAAAAACAATAATATCGCTTAGGATATTAGAATCACTTATGATTCTAAGAAAATCAAATCTTTTTTTCTAATAGAGCTTGCTTCAATGTCTTAGCATTTTCGACTTTCCACAGCAGACAGTTACACAACAGCCCTTGCGTAGGAAACCAAAAGAAAAGTAAAAATATAGCTAACGACCCGAAATTACTGTGACTAATGATACACGTGTCTATCTGATTGCTATTCAGTATCAAATTGGAAAATTACCGTCACCGTTATATTCTTTCTTTATGATTTTGCCAAAACATTTAAGTACCTATCCAACGATTTATTCATATCGAATCGAACCTTGTGATCCTATATCATCACGTCAGTTTTTACCCAGTAGAGTGGGCTTCCATACATTCATTTTTAGCCAGTTATAGACTATAGTGTAAAATCAAATATAATTAGAGGATGATCAATATTCTACATATCTTTTCCGGCCATTTTGTGACTCCGATTTAAGGTCAACGCGCACCACGGCTATCAAGCACGGCTTCGGCAGGGCTTCAACCCAGCAATTACCTCGTCATTTCAATATGAACTTTAAATTGTATGTCGTATGACATATTTCATAACGTCAATTTAAAAAAAGCTGTAAACAATCTTGTAAGTAATCGTTTTGTATTGTTTCTGAAGCAAAAGCAAAAAATGTCGTGCCGGAGCCGTGTTTGGGCCATGCCGGAGTCGTGCTTGTTAAATGTGTTATTACCTAAACGTTGCCTAAAATTGAATTTCCATATTGGACATAATCCTTTTTTAGAACAAGTTTACCTCGGCCAGAAATTCAATCTCAACGAAGCAATATCTACTCTTATTATATCTATCTTTACTGAACACTGGTTCAATCTTGGCCATGTTCAACCAAGATATTGGTTTAAACATGATAGTGTTTAGATAAAAGCGGCTGACGCATAAACCACTATTGTTCCTGCCTATAATATAGTTTACACCTGACTAAATTGCAATTTAGTTGTGTGTACCTAACTTATGATACAATATCTATTTGTAACCTGCACAGTGGCATGACCTACCATTTCTAGAGGAAGATATTAAGTTCTCTAAAGTCATGCTCACAATGAACACAGATCCTTCGATAGAGCAACAGAATCCTGTTAAGGAGATCTATTACTCCAGCTATGAGGATCAGTAATCTCTATTTAGTTACATTTGAATGCAAATAAATTTTTGCATTATATATATTCAAAACCCACCTTTGTTTTAAAAGTGTTAACGACATTTTTTGTTTGGCATAATACGACCATTAATCTAAGTGCGATCGGTATTGTCTATTGTCATGCTAATGATTTTGTGATATGAAATTTACGATGAAGGAATGCGTCCATATCGGAATGTTGAATAGATACTTTGTTTCTTAGTTTGTATATGTATAAGTCACTGATTTCCCTTGGGACGAGATTATACAATGACGTGAGTGCATTATAGTTACATTATGCGGTAATGTGGAGTTAGTATTGAGTTTGTTGTCCGTATAGTAGGGACAGGTACGTGTAGAAAGTGCATTTGACATTGTAATACGTAACGTTTCCTACTGTCTGTTTTTACTACTGTGTGTTTGTTAGTTTTCCCTGTACTCTACTGAAAGTTTATGTACACAGTCCATATGTGCAATGTGTTATCCAGATAAGTGGTCTTTACAGCTTATGTATTTTGAGTTAATCACTCTCGAGTGATACTCGTGTCAGTGTCAATTCGATAAATGGACCAACCAATATTTATATACATAGAATAGTAATTCCAATTGAATAATAATTCGCTCTGTTCTTGTCAACTATTCCTGTTAGTTAGCTATTCAGATTTCATGTAAATTGAGTAAGTACCTGGAATCCATGAATGAGATCTCCTCCATGAGTCTGGCATTGCTTCCTCGCGTCGTCGAAGGACATGCCCTTAGCCACGTTGAACTCGTAGCAGTTTCTGGAGAAGGCAGCCAGTTCGATGTCGGCAGGAGCTCCGGTTGGGGCACAACGGTCGTTGGAGAATTCTGGCAAATAGACCAAATACGTAAGTAAATTAATTAAAACAATTAAGCTTAAAATCCATTGACTAAAATTGACTGGGGCGTATAGACTCCAGGGATGGAAGGAGTGATTGTGACCAACGAACAAAGTATTTGTTCATTTGTTAATATACAAGATCATAAATATACAAGACCAAATATGACGCGAAGCTCATTTTTAGTACAGTATATATAGGGCTTGTCGTGTTATAATTGTCAATTAAAAACTAAACTACTGAGGAGTAAGTGTTAATAACTATTGTAAACGACAAACGGACCACCGGATGAATCGTTTCTCGCTTATTATGCCAATAGTTAATAGTTTTTCAATACTTCATTATCCATTGTTCTTACCAGGCTGGCATAAATAGGATAGTAGCGGTTACGGTTCACCCATTTACACCACTGATTGCTACTCTATTTGTGTCAATATCCAACTGCATCGTACGCTGGAGAGTAATAAACGTGTTGAGGCAGGTCAGGACACATAATTAAATATTCCTGTAAAACTGGGTTACGGTGTGCATTCAATATTCCAGTCACTGATTCACGAGATATTCGAAAGCAGTGCTTTTATTGCTAGCACCATAGTAGAACTTTAATAAATATTAGGTGCAGCTGTTTTTTGAGATTTATTTTAAGTTTGCGTTTTAATATTGCTGTAATATCATATCATATCGTTTTATTAGAAAAGATGCGTCTAAGCATACGTGTCTAGTAGGTGGTGTTTAGATAACTTAATAAAAGATAACCTTAAGATCAACAGCCCCCTGCGACCACAAGGGTACCGCAAAAGTGTTCAGAGCATAAGATTGAATTTCTAAAACCCATAGCAAACACCATTAATGTAGTGATGGTGATGTCTTGTCAAGTTGTAACTCGCAATGGGTTATTATCTCGAAGTCTACTCTGTCTAGGCTTACCTTCAGTGGTGAACACTTCAACTTCACAGAGAGACAAGGAGCCTTCAACGCCAACCAGCTGCAAGAACACGTGCTGGCCAACCAGTGGCCGCGCGCACGTGAACGTCTTCGTTATGCCTTCATCTGCAACAAACAATTAAAAACTTTAACATACTAATGTTAGGGTATAAAATTCCATATATATTTGTGGCTTTATTTGTGTGTGGTGTTGTATTATCTTAAGTACGTCTTTTTACAGTGTGTTAGGACTAAAGAAGAAGGAAGAAGCCTTCGTTTTCTAATGTTCTATTACTTTTTGTTTATTTATTGCTATTTCGAATTCTGTATCTGCTCGGAGCAAGTTCATAAGACCTAACTGCGCATGATTGATTGGTTTTTAATAAAACTGATCTGTTGATTGGTACCAGTAAATAACTGTCAAAAATCCTCACTTCATAAGATCGTCACAAAGCATTTAAAGGTCCATGAACTTTCAAAACAATTGTGACCAACGCTGCTATGATTGAGAGGATCAAACTTAAAAGAAGTTATTCAGTAAACCGACTGTTTATGTAACACTATTTATAGAACTATTACTTCCTAGTCGACAATTGTCTGTGATTAGTACAGCGCGCGCGCCGCGTGTCTGCGCTCGCGCTGCCATTTCAATATAGGAGAAATGCACGCAATGGGCGACTGTCACACTGTCACTATCAAATTTTTGTTTAGAATAAACCTGTTGGTATGTACTAATACTAATATTGTATGTCTTATATTAATTTCTACTATTATATTGGCAAAAGCTCTACTTTTCCTCGTCCACACTTCCTAAAAAGTAGATTTAATATGGCGATTGTTTGGTTTTTACAAAGAATAGAGACTTTAATTACATTACTTATAGTTCACGTTGACGTTTCAAAAGTACCAAAATATGGTTTAATGGAAATAAATGCTTTGACTTTGACTTTCAAACCTTTTTAGTTATATAGGTTTTAGACACGATACCTATGTGTAATATATACGACTGTAAGACACATACAAAAAACTGGAGCTAGTACAAGGGAAAAGTAAAGATAAGCATAATGTTTTAAGCTTCAAATTACCAGAACAATGCCTTAAACTGTCAAACACCAAGCGGTCACCGGTGACCGCAACCTTTCTATAATTGTGTCTACAAAACCGGTACTCGACGAGTTAAATTACATTGCAGCTGTACCCTTAATTTATTTTTGTAATAAAAATATACAAATACATATCGTCTGAAAAGATTTTTCACTCGAGATGTTATGGGTTAACTTAAGTATTTGAATTATGTCGCTGGGAGTTTCTGCCTGACCTAGTTTCTAATGGAGCTCTTACGAACTGCATTTAATTTTGTTTTGTTTACCTTGAAATGTTTTTTAAACAAAATAATGGTTTTTGTATGAAAAACCATAGTTAAAAGCATTTCATTTTCAAGGATTAGCTGGTAAAATTAAAGAGACAGAAATATTAACTACGATTAAATTGTAAGGCGTCAGAAATGTTAGTATACTTTTTGAAACGGAGAGTATAGTCCAGATTTTCCATCAGCAACTAGGACTTGGTTAATCTGATTTGTAGATTAATTTTTAAAAAATATGTAGTAGTCATAATACGTAACGCTAAACGCCGACATATTCTAGATAACATCTCTTCTTCATCTCCTGCCGATATCTGGAAATTCCTCGGGACTCTAGGTATCGGCAAATCACAACACACTGACCTCCCAAATTCTGTTGGTTTAAATGATCTGAACCGACATTTCTCCACTGTGTCCAAATTGGATCCTCTTGCTAAACAGCAAACTTTATCTTTTATTTCTGCTCTGATGCGTTCGTCTTCTTTAGCTTCTTTCAGATTCACCCCGGTGCAGCCTGAGGAGATTCGAAAGATCATCCTCTCCATTAAATCCAGGGCGGTGGGTTGTGACGGTATATCGCGGTATATGGTCACAACCATACTCGATCATCTCCTCCCAACCATAACTCACATGGTTAACTATTCCCTGTACTCCAAAGTCTTCCCATCCTTGTGGCGTAAAGCCTATGTCCGTCCTCTTCCTAAGATAACCAATCCTACTCTTCCCACACACTTCCGTCCTATATCAATTCTTCCCTTCCTGTCAAAGGTGCTCGAGGCCTGTGTCCATAAGCAACTTGCTGACTACATATACAGTAACTCGCTTATAAGTCCATTGCAATCCGGATTCAGGCCCGGGCACAGTACTGTAACCGCTCTCCTTAAAGTGATTGGCGATGTGAAGGCTGGGATGGAGGACACCAGGATCACAGTATTGGTTTTGGTGGACTTTTCGAATGCCTTCAACATGGTCAATCATGACATTTTGCTAGCTATCCTATCCCATCTTTCGGTCTCTGATGGTGCACTGGATTGGTTTTCATCTTATCTTCAGGAACGTCAGCAATTGGTCCAGGTTGGTGAGGCTTCGTCGAACTGGTGCCATTTAGAGGCTGGGGTTCCTCAAGGCGGAATTCTCTCTCCTCTTCTATTCTCCATCTTCATAAACCTTATCACTTCCGAACTTCAGTGTGCGTACCATCTGTATGCCGACGACCTGCAATTGTACTGTCAAGTCAAGATTGAGGACTTACCTGATGCAGTTGCGAAGGTGAACGCGGACTTGACTGCCATATCTAACTGGTCTGGGAAATTTGGCATTAATGTCAACCCGAGCAAGTGTCAGGCGATAATAGTAGGTAGCTCCCGCACTTTGTGCAAGGTTAACAGTGCAACGGTACCGCCAGTCCGATTTGACGGTGCGGTCATTCCATTTAGTAGTGATGTCAAAAATCTTGGGTTGCACATCGACGGCAACTTAACCTGGCGTGCTCATGTTACTAGTGTCTGTCAGCGAGTCACGGGGACGTTGCGAGCCCTCTATCGGTTAAAAAACTTCCTTCCGTCGTCGACCAAGGCGATGCTTGTTCAGTCCTTGGTTTTCCCCATAATTGATTACGCTGATGTGTGTTACTACGACCTGAATGCAGATCTCCTCAATAAACTTGACCGCCTTCTAAATAACTGCATTCGATTCGTCTTTAACCTGCGTAAATACGACCATGTCTCTGCATATCGGTTGCAACTAAAGTGGTTGCCCATACGTCAACGCAGGAAACAACGGGCGTTAACCACTTTATTTTCTCTTCTTAATTCCCCCACTTCTCCTAGCTATCTATCCTCCTATTTTCAGTTCATAAGTGCAAACCACAGCAAGTATCTTCGTTCCACTAATAATCTTCTTCTACAATGTCCCACGCACCGGACCGACTTCCTTCACTCTTCATTCTTTGTCCAATCCATTCTGCTGTGGAATGCGCTGCCCACGGATGTCAGGACGGCAACCAGCCGGCTTAGTTTTAAAGTTAAGGTTCGTGAACTATTGCAGAGGGAACAGACAGACGCATCACGTACTTAATTTATCATTTTGGCGATTTTATTTAATATATATGTATAAATATATATAATTATATATATATATATGTAGTTATTAGTAGTAGTAGTTATGTTATTTCCAATTTATATATTATCTTTTATAGTATTGTTATTTAGTAATATTGATAATTTATCTTATGTAATTTACATTATACCTATTACACCTACTGTTGCACATCTCTGCATCACCCCATGGTTGACTGTTAGAGAATGCCACCCGGCATTAAGTCCGCCATCGTATATTATAATATACAGAAGTGTAAATAAATAAATAAATAAAATAATAAAATGATATGGATAACCGTGATAATCTTAATAAAACATCATAAGTGTTTCGAAAACGCTGTACCGGAGATCAGAAATAGCGAGAGCTGAGATTAATGAACGGACACACTATAAACCCAGATAAAGAATCGTAAAGTCTGTTGCTTTAATGACTTCATTAACACCGATAGTTTTGCGGGGAACAATAGTTGCAATTACATAATTTGACGGTTGGTTTTTTAATTGCCTTACAACTACGCTACGGTGTGACAAGCGCGCATAACTAACTCTTCACAAACACTTATTGGCTGTGGGAATCTTCATTGTCGTTAATAGAAACCGTACTATGGTTTAGAAAGCGCAAGTCACTTTCGCGTATTATTCCACTGGGAGTTTTTACATTGCGCCTCTATAATGCTTGCGCGTCGTAATTGTTCGAAGCGATGAGGTAATGGATTAGGTGCAAAGCGTGTGATCGTGTGCATGGAACATCAAATCTGGTGATTATAAATGGTGATCGTTTAACCGATTGTAGTTGACACTTCAACCTTTTTCTATGTAATCATTAACTCTCTTTGCTTTCGCTCGTTTGTTACATTCTCACTGTCTTAAAAAAACTGCTGTAGGTAATTGGTTACACACTATGATACCAATATGAACTTACAAGGATTAGTAATTTATAAATGCAGTTCTTAATTTGTTTGTTTTTTGATTTTTGAATTGAGTGCAATGAAATTTGACAACTGCTTTATTTTTCGTTGATTATTATTTGGTAGTGTGGGTATGTAACACCTGTTGAGTTTAATGAACAATGGCTTGTCATTTTCTACATTTTAAGGGGTGGTGGTCAGGTGCTTAAATGGATTCTAAGCTTCCTTCATAACTTCGAAACCGGTTCTGCGATTTCGACAAAATCATGAACCCAAAGCAGCCTTGATTTCTTTAGAAGAATCGTAACCACATTATTATAATGTTCCAAAAAATGGCAAACAAAGTATAAATGTTACGCCAACCTCTTCTCTAATTACTGACATCAAGCAAAACAATAGGATGATGAAAGTTTCATAGCAATCAGGCGAGCCGTTCCAGCGTTAACTCATAAAAACAAACGAACAAACACTTTCCTAAACTTACGTCATTTTTACCCACAACTAGTATTTATCATGGAGTACCTAATATAAACTAGTTATTATTTACAAATAGAACAATTATTACTTATTATCTGATAACGTAGCACGAAAACAAAGCTTGGTTTTTTATTTATTTTTTTAATAAATTAGCAAACAAAGGCTATTAATTGTAAACTCATTAATGCTGGCCATATCTATATGATACAAATAACAATAAGCCTGTTACAAGCCTTATCATTAATACAGTAAATAATATCAACAATGGTTGATGATAAG